GAAATGAACATTCCCCTTTACAAAATTTCAATCAGCAAATAGTTCGATTGATTCTTGAAAAATACCAACCAGATCACCCGATGCCACCCTTAACCAGAATACTCAAACCATAGATCTTCAAACATTGATCATTATGCAGAAAGCTAGGAATAGACTTATATTAAATTTTAGAGTGAAATAAACCTTTGATGATTTGAGTTGGACAAACACTTTTGGCCCAAATCTCGTTTGGGCTAGTTTTATAAAGTAAAAGCTAAATTTAGGTCTATTATATATGTCCGGCCGGCTCACAACTAGTAAATCAAGCGAGCGAGTAGTGACTAACCTAGCTAGATCAAACTATTAGTTTTGAATTGCTTAGTCATTTACTTATTTTGTGGTTGTACTATTACTAGATTACTAGATGTGACTTAGGATACATGCTATGCTAGACTGGACAAGACAATATTTCTCATCCAATCTTGCAGTTTCTATACAATGTCATTGCCATTAAATGCCTTTTTCTTTTTAATTATCACTATTACATTTGGTTTTCATTAAACATATTTCTTGATCTTTTTTCAGGAAAGAAGTATGCATAGAGGATACAATATGGAGAAGATGGTGTGCCTTTCTTAATTTCTTATTTTAGTTCCTTCCGGTGAAAACTATGTATTCTTTTCTTGCCAAAAACTTGACTATGATTCTGAATCCTTCTTTCTTTCTTTCTTTCTTCCTCTGCTCTTGTTATATGTATCAATTAGAATGTTCTGGTTAAGAACCGTTTGGCCATACTTAAAAGCCAGATTTTAATGGCTTTCTTTAGGGGTAGATGCATACTCGCTTGAAAACCCAAAAAAAGTTGCATGTCACTTGCTAACGATGTAATGAACTTATGAGCTGAAAAAACTGGAGCTCCAAATTTTTCTTCTTTTTATTTAAATAACATAGTTTTTTTTATATAGAACTTGGGAGAGCCATATCTCAAAAGTTAGCCGTTAAGGTTGGAAAGCCCAAACCTATATAAATCATACAAAGGAAGTCCATACTTCCAATGTGAGATTTAAACCCTCATAAGTTTCATTGGAACCATGACAAACCACCACGCTTTCGAACCCGACGCCCACACCAACCAGGGTCTCCAGAAGTGATGCCAGCTCTGATATCAATGTCATAGAACTTGGAAAAGTTATACCTCAAAAGCTAGCCGTTAAAGTTGGAAAGGCCAAGCCTATATAAACCACACAAATGAAGCTCATACTTCCGTTGTGAGATTCAAACCCCCATAAACTCCACTGGAACCATGATAAATCACCACGCTTCTGACCCTGGTGCCAACACGGGGCAAGCGCCCATACACCAATCAGGGTCTCGAGATGTGATGACAACTCTAATACCAATGTCATAGGATTTAGGAGAGTCATACCTCAAAAGCTAGCCATTAAAATTGGAGAGCTCAAACATATATAAACTACACAAATGAAGTCCATACTTCCGATGTGGAATTCAAACCCCCATAAGTTCCACTAGAACCATGACAAAATTTGGCATGGTTAAGTTGTGATAATGGCTTTTCCACAATCACAATCCAACAATCAACTCCTTCCTAGCTAAATTTAATTGGAAATATAACCAGACAAAGATAAAATAGAATGAGGATGGGTAAAAATGAGAAAAACATAGAAGAAATGAGAGAGAGAGAGAGAGAGAGACTGAGATGAATTAATCAACTGTCAATTGAAAATCACAAAACTCAACAACAACAGATCCTTGCACTTGGGTTATTATTTACCTCATTGCGAAGTCGCGTTTCACAGGGCAATAAGAGGAAAAAATGTAACACAACCTTACACTTATTTAGAAACCAAAACGACGCCGTTCTAACTAAACCACACGACAACGTTTAGAACTTCAAATGTTGGGTACTTCTCTTGGGATTTCATCTTCTTCATTCTGCTTGGTTTTCCTCTTCTCTCTTGTCGACATGGGCTTCTTCTTTCCCCAGCCACCCTTGTCTTTCACATAACATGAAATTGAATGGTGTTGACACACAAAATATTCAGCTTAAATCAAATGGCCCAAGAGAGGAAATGACCCAAGAGAAGAAACACATCTAGAGAGATCAGGGTAAAAGCCCAACTAGAAATGTCATTAAATATGATGAAAGCCCAAAAACAAAGGTGCGTCATCGTCCAAGCCTGCAGAACGTCCAGATATTGAGCAAATAAAACATCCTATAATTGCCCAGGGCGGAAGATCAATTGTTGCCCAAAAATGCCGAGTCGCCCAGAGTCCCAGCACTGACTAAAGCTTGCTGTTATCCCAAGTCACGATCTAAGGCAGATTGAGCACATCACAATTACGCCCCA